CAGTGTTCTAACATTTAGCGGAGGGTGAAGATATGATCAATGCATCCTCGACCAGAACGAATACCAGCCTGCTCCTCGCGAGTCAATCTTTCTCGGGTTTTGAACAATCTACGAAGTATGATGGAAGCCAATAGCTTGGACGCAATTGGAAGTAGACTTATCCCCCGATAGTTGTTACAGGAACGACGTGAACCCTTTTTAAATGTAAGGACAACTATCGACTCATTCGCGTCATGAAGTTGCAGCCAATGCTCATCTATACTTTTCGGTGGAACGGTAGCTGGCCTAGAAGCTACCTCGGTTCGATACTTACTTGTGCTTAGACGCCCGACCTGGGCATTCAAGTCTCCAGATAGTACTACAATATCTGTCGAACGCACTTTCTGGAGAAGAACAGATAACTGGTGGTAAAACTCATCCTTGATTGCATCTGGGCTGCAATCTGTCGGAGCATGGGCTAAGATGACGAAAAGATATCGTTTCTCACGCCGATTTCTTCTCACTTTGATGGAACTTTGTAATTTAACAGCACTTAACTGATTATTAATGGGAATCCAATTAATTAGTGTTGCCTCAGCTCTAGCGCTTAGTTCGACACCAACGCCAGCAAGACCAGACGAAGATGCCACAGGGTCCCCGGATAAACGCACGTAAAACAAGCTTTTTGAAGCGACAGATGAAGAGCGAATTTGTAGTACTTCACCAGTCTTGAATAAGGGTCTCAGATAGACAACAAACATCAATATTAATACTTTATAAAGACATAGCCAACCCTATCTGTTGTCCGACCCGTATAAGTGTGCGAACGTTGAAGACAGCCAGTTTGAATGGTGCACGTGGTCTTAGAAAAACTGCTTCAAAACTCATATTCGGTGGTAACATACAATTTTCAACCGGACAGTGACCCGGGAAAGTTTCGATAGAGTCGAATTTCCACCATAGACGAGCTGCTGTATAAGTTGAAAAAATAAGCATAGACAGAGTAGGAATAAAAGAGGGTGAATAGTGACGTAGTAAATAATAATAACAATAATAATAGTAATAATAATAACAATAATAGTAATAATAATAATAATTTGAATCATTTGATCGTTAGCCGAAGCAAGAAAAGTAGTTTCCATAAGCATAGGCAGTTCATTATTTGTGTGGGTTGTGATACTGACCGGGTGCCCAGACCGAAGCAGGTTATTATCTTAGGGGGCCACATCCCGAGCCTTTGACCTAATGGTCTAGCCCACAAGGCAGTGGAGCATCGTAAGGAGATGCAGTCTCGTGGTAGCCGGTGGCCGAAAGTTGGTTCATACGTCATTCGTTCCAGCAGGATATTAGAGCCAATGTGCACCATTGGTTTGGGATCCGGTTAAAGCACCGGACATTCGCTTTACGTCCTCTAATTTTCGTAAACAACACCCCCGCCACGAGAAGGCAGTGAGTAAGACTTCCCTGACAGAGGCTGTGCACGCCTGGCCATGTGAGAGCATTTCGAGAGGGAGGGCGGACCCACCCCGCTTTCGGCGATATCAGGGCATTTGGAGGCCACGAAATTTTTTCCACAACTTCACTGAACTCTGGTCTCACAATCCAACCATTAAGAAAGGTGTTTAGTCGAGGAGCGGTTCCCATGGTGTTAGCGACCGATAATGGCAGTTAGGTCATTGAATATCCAACAAATCATCGATCCTCGTCAGGGTCAAGGACAACCAACGCGCATCAGTTAATCGTACGCCATGGACTAGCCCGTGCGACAGTGATTTTACCTTCGCTTGCATTTACTTTAACTAATATATTTCTGTAATGACGTCCTTTGTATTTTAAAGTCTTCAAAGCATCTATGTACCTTGATACTTCAATAAGGTAATCCACGTAAGGTGCTGACCGTGAGGTGTGACTTCGACGTTATCTAGTTTGTCACATCACTCACGTCTAACTCGAGTAGGCCTCCGATCATTCGACATAGATCATCTACTTTGGTGATCTGCAACAGTACATTCGTTCGTGCTTATCTAGCGCTTCTTGATCCAATTGCGTTATTTCTGGAATTTTAGTTCATACTATAATTAGAGTTCTCCTAATCATCACAGGTGCCAACACGAATAACAGTTATCTGTTTCTTGTAATCTAGAAACAGATCTTATGTGTAATGAGATACTTGGAGGAGTTGGGCATCATTTACTGGTGTGTGATAAGACGTTTAGATTAAAGCGGTTATACATGATTTATTTCCGTGCCGACTGAGACTTCTCTTTGACAAATCAAGTCTCGACGACGATGTTTCTGGTGATCTGTAGAATATGATCGACAAAAGTTGCTGACCCATTTAAAGCATTATTTTGAACCGGAACGATTACAGCTTGCTCCGAGTAGGAAAGCTTAGATAGAAATGTTGTCTTAAAAGGTCTTTGACCAAGGTTCCTTGTCCAATGTCGACATCGCCGTTCTAGATCACAAAGATGATGGATCTCCAATGATTGGAGGTCTACTCGAGTTAGATGGGAATGGTATGACGAACCAGATAACTTCGAAGTCACACCTTGCTGCCAGCATCTAACGTGGATTATCCCTTCGATCTATGAAAGTATCATGGCTGCTTTGAAGACCGTACAACACAAAGAACGTTATTATGAAAATGCATTGGTAAGAGTGAGTACAGAGAAGATAGCGAGACAACCACCGCATGCGCCAGTCAATGGCATACGTTCAACTGATGCGCGTGGGTTATCCTTGACCTTGACGAGGGTCGATGATTTGTTCGACGGATGATTTAACTAAGACTCAGTGGAATTTCACTGGCCTCATACTGTCCCCAAACTGTGTTGTAATTCACTAATATGGGATGGCGAGCCAATCATTTTATCGAGTATCTGGGCCTATACGTTCAAGAGCAGGCACTTTATGAGTGCCGTGAGACTCAGTATTATCACTAGTAAATAAACCGGGTATTACCTACCTGACGAACGTGCGTGGTCATGACTTCCCTACGGTGATAAAATGCGCGTGTGCATCTATTACTCCGTGTTCAAGGAATTCAGAATCTTATAAAGCCAAAATGAGATGATTTACAAGGTGTGAGTGTGAGAGTCCTGATCTTTGACAGTTAAGGTTTGAGTTTAGATGCAATAACAATAACACTTATAAATATGCAGAAAGAATTTGAGAACACAATGGCAATATCACAGTATGTAAGAATATATACATATAATGTTGCGAAAAAGAACAGACTCGTATTATCTCATTTGGTTTAACAGACCACCATGAGCCCACCACTAAGGACGCCACATACATTTAGGGATTGAAAACTCTATTAATCGCAACGCCTTTATAATCGAGTACCACAAGGCCAGTCAGGCCAGAAGTCAAAAATGAGAGAGTTCGAGGACGTACTTGTAGGATGGTCCGCAAATGAACAATTTTACTATTGCGAGGGGTGCGTAGCACGGAGTGCCCAGTGATCGTGTGTGGAGTGTTGATTGATCGCGTTCGACTAAGGTGAGTTCAATACAATCAATGTCAATAACTTACAGTTCTAGTTTGGAAAGGATAGGAGGCTTGTCGGCCTGTGTTAGTCCTGGCAATAATGGTATTTTAGTTGATCCAAAATTCTTCTGAAAAAGCCAACAGATTGAGATTTAATCACGTGTTGAGGTAATGAATTCCAATCGTTGATGAATCGATGGGAAAGTCGATAGTTAGCCGACAAATAATTTGTTCTGTGCTTGTGAACTTTTTTGGAGTGTCCTCGTCAATTCTCGGTTTTGGGAGACAAGAAAAATGAGGGCATATCAGGTGAACAATTTATCACTCAGTAATTTTAAAACTCTAATAATGTCACCTATGGTTCTTCGATATGACGACAGGAATAGGTTAAGTTTAGCTAATCGAGCATCATATGAAAGCTTCGCAATCCCGGGAATCAGCTTATTTGCTGTACTCTGAACCTCTTCCAAAAGCTCATCGTCATTTTTTAAGCAGAGGTCAACCGCTCGTATGCAGTACTCAAGTTTAGGACATCTGAATACCGTACATAAACATTTAGCGTCGACGTGACTAAAGGGCCTACATATTGACCATAAAGTTCTTAAACCTTTGGCGGCTATTGCACGGCAGTGTGCAGTGGTATTTAAGTATTGGCAAACGATGAATAACTAGTCAGTATGTGTCTGGGCAACAGGTAGCTCAATGTCACTCATCATGTATGTATCTGTGTTTTGATGACCAACATGTACCTAAATACACTTGAAAATACATATCGGCAATCTCCAAGTCTGAGATCATTCAGATAATTTCCCCGTGTCATTTTGAAGTTCTAATCTATCGCTTCTATTTCTTATTGCTCTCCATACTTAACGTCGTCAGGATATAGCAAGACCGATGATGATAGGAGACGAGGAAGGACATTTACATACAGGAGAATCACCTGTTTTTCGAATTCGTTCATTTCTTCACTCTTATATCTGCTTTTCACCCAACAAAATATGATGACTCATGCTGCCTGTTTTGGGAAAAGTTTTGTCCGCTTTTGTGTCATTCAACCAAAATTTCCCTAGATTTGTGGAAATCCCCAAAACTTTGGGGAAGACCATTTGACTTTGAGGAAAACCCCGAGATTGCCACAGGTATTTTACAAGGCTTCGCAGATGAATTTGATAGGTTACCAATATATGGAGTATCGAATGATCTAGACTGGCTAGCAATTGCAGTGGATGTTGAGCATGGGGTTCCCATCCGTGATCTGGTGCGGATGCATGGACGAGCGCCTTCAGCTAAGTGAGTTCATTAAGACCAATATGGTTGGCATCCAATGTCGAACACTTACAGAGCTACTTATTTTGGGGATTTATTTACCGCTACAACCTGATTCTTTACCCAAAGTTTCCCAAAATTTCCCCAAAGTAAAGGGATTGAGAAAACTTTAAATCCAAATTGAAATAGGTGAAACAGTTTCTCAGATCGAATTTTCTTATACAAATCAATAAAATTGTTTGTACTTATCATTTTGAAATTGTGTGTGTTTATTAAGAAAAAACTTTGACCTTCAGGTGCAAGTTCCTTTGTCGTTTGGTGGTCTTCACACTTTTGATTGGTTTCGTAATATATCACTTCACTATAGTTCTGTATATTGGTATTGACACGATAGTACTAAATGCTACTTTGTTTAAGACATGTTGCTTTGGACGGTTAGCTACTTGGAAACTACTTCACTCAGTTGGCTCTACAAACGAATGCTCATTAAGTAGAAGTTTTCTTCGATCCCATTAGTAATAGTCCAAATTCACTGAAAACACAATGCACTTAAATTACTTGGTATCCTCGACTCAAAGGGTCTGAATTAGTCAAGCGTACAAAACAGTAAATATTGAAAGCTCTCCTGAACCGATCGATTCAGAACTTCTTTTCATTGTAAGCTCGACTCATTTTCGGAATATTGTTTCGTTCGCAGAGTTAGAAGTATGAGTAAATAAGGGCTTTCCTAGAACTCATGGAATTTCTATAAGTTAAGTGACTTCTTCATACGTAGACCATTCCCACCAAAGATATATAGTGTGTATACAGTCTGTTATTAAAATGCTTTCAGATGTTTATTCTTATTAACCGCACTTCTTCGTATTACTGTAATTTATCCCTTTTACTTCTAACGCTCATCTGACAGTCTAGTTTCAGAGAGTTCTAGGATCTAAGTCAAATCGTTAACGTTTGCGGCGTCGAAAATTGCTGAAGTTATCTTCCACAACACATCAGCAACTCCGGTTTTAGCATCTGAAGCCAGACTTTGTCTTCATAGTATTATAGATTGCAGAGATTACCATGTTTCGTCTGGCTTCCTATTTATACTTTTTGAAACTGACGAGGTTTTTTGGTTCTTACTCTTTCCTCTTAAATGAAGTAACCAAATTTTTGATACACTTTTACATAACATTCTAACCACTTGCCACAATAGGTCGGTAATTATCGGTTGTCTGTGCAACTTAATTTTACCAAATATTCTGTAAGATGGGCGTTATTGAAATGTGTACGGTGTCATATTATTTAGGGGTAAGTCGGTTTGTTGTGGATCTCCATAAACACGAAGGGTAATTCATGTTGGCTCTCCGTAATAGCCAAGCTTCATCGTAGGTGGATATGCTAAGATTCGGCAGGGTTCGAACGTTGAACTTTACAGCAGTTTGATGTAATGTGATACATGATTTCGTAAACTCGGACCGTTACGATTGGTGGCAAGTACAATCTATTTCGAAATCGAAGGAAGCGAATGGAAAATTCAATTGTGAACAAAACTAGATTGTTTTACTAGAGGTATGGGTACGGTAAACTGGTCTATGGGTTGTGACGACCGCAAAGCGTGATCATAGAGCCCACAAGACGGCTGCTTGAGGCCGATCAGTTTCACTCAGCAGTCTCTGTTGTGTTATCTTGATATCTTCAAAGTCCTACCGCCTCAGTGAAAATCTGTTTCTCACGGTGAGGCTTGGTACTTTTAAGGTCGACTTAACCTGATCCCTCGTCCTTGTTGTAAAGGCACGGTCACTAAATATCCCGATTGTCTGGTAGAAGACCACGTACTGTCGTCACACCAATACCAGTAGTACTTCGCCTTCCGACCTGCAACTCACCAAACCAACAGCTTGTCATTTTCGAACTTGAGGAAACAAATGTTCCAGTTAGTTTAACTCTATTAAGTCATCATGACAGGCAAACAACTCTCTAAAGTAGCACTTACAGTCACTGACCTTATTATTTAGAAAATTTTCAATATGATTGTTTCCTGTTTTGTACTATTTTCACTTCAGCTAGAAATGTACAGGTAATGAATTGTTCATAACTTGCCCAAACAATATTACAGCTACATGAACAGATTCACTTCCGTACTTGGTATGTAGTTGTTATTCTTTAGCAAAGATACTACCGACTTATATTTTCTTAATCGAGTTCATCAAACTTACTATCTCATTTAATCGTTTCAGTATTATGGAGCACAGCACAGACAGTCAGGGTGAAGAATCTAGTTATCAAGAACCTTCGTATTATGAGGGTCTAGATGGTTCTTTGCAAGATCATGATGCAGACTATCAAGCGGGTGATATCGAACAAAGATCACCACTTCGTGAGCAAGTTAGTTGTAACGCTAAAATTTAATATTTTGGAAGGACCGTTTTCTGCCAATAGCTAATGTTGCTAAAATAATGAAAAGAGCAGTACCTGGGAATGGAAAAGTATTATATTAAATAGTGTCAGTAAATCCGTTTTATGTTTTTCAGATTGCTAAAGATGCTAAAGAATGTGTGCAAGAATGTGTATCAGAGTTTATCAGTTTCATCACTAGCGAGTTAGTTTCCTTATATTATTTTTATATGAAAACAGAGCTGCTGATAAGTGTCAAACTGAAAAGCGTAAAACTATTAACGGTGAAGACATTCTGTGTGCTATGAATACACTTGGCTTCGATAATTACATTGAACCACTTAGAGCGTTTCTAGTCAAGTTTCGTGAAGTAAGTACCACTACTTGTGGACTTTAGAGCGTTATTATTTGTTTGAAAAAAGTATTGCCTTTTTTCCGTTTTTTTCATGTCTTTTATCACCATAGTTGGCTAAGCGACTTCCTAGCATCGCCCTCATCCTTCTTGTTCTTATAGTGGGATTCAATTTTGTTTGAATATTGACTTGCCTCTTACTTGTTCTGTCTTTTAATGTTTATTCTTTTTGGTTATTACTTTCTTAGTACGGTTTAAGTAGGTTCTCACTTGCTTATATGTTACATCAATTCAGGAAATAAACACTACTCCCTCATTATAACATTAGCTAAGTCCTTTGTTATTTGTCATACTTTTGTAACGTTTAATGTTTATAACCTGGTGTAATCAAAAATATTCAATGACTTTCGCGCAGTTTAGTTGACTGAAAATGTCTTCTTTGCTCAGTATCTTACCTAGAGAGATCAATAATACAATATAAAATACTTAGGTGCGGGTGCATCCACTCTTTGTGTTTTCCCAAATTCTAATCTTCTGAATTCTTCATGTCCTTTTTTTCTCTTCCCAAATTTATTTCACCGGATTATACTCCCTGGATAACATCTTCAAACCTTAATTCTCCGATTACTGCTTATACTTTTATTACCTCTACCACTATGGGGTTTGAATCGACAATTGTATCTCTTTGCTAATGTGGTATGGCAACTTGAACTGATGTATGCATGTACGAAGATCTACGTTGTCACTGACTGACTGATAAAATACTCAGAATTTAAATTTTTACTAGCCATCTGTGCTTTTGGTTGTACTTCGATGCTTGTATTGAGGAGAAACTGTTAGAAATCCATATTTTCAAAGGTTGTTTGACCATTTTGACTGTTACCGACGAGCGAAAATTGGTTTTCTTTCATTATCTTCATTTTTTGCCGTTATGATTGTATTTGTAGGTAAATATGGAATACGAGATCTATATCGACATTTAGTCCTTGCTCATTATTATATTTGAGGTGTCATGATGAGTAACTTAACACCTAAAATAGTGTGTTATGATCATTCATGGACTAGTCGTATTCTTATATTCTTCATACTAAGTAACGCTAGCATCTACAGAAACAACAAAAACCATTTAAAGCAATTAGTCCCTTTTATAAATTTCGATAGAACAATGAGAAGACGGAGTTGATCTGAAAAATGTGATGTATTTGCGCTATACATTTCGAACAATCTGGTCACACATATACTTGTCAAGGCATTTTTATATGAAAATTAATAAAGGTCAAACAAATAAAAGTACAATTAAAATAACAAACATCATTTGTTTAGTCAAATGGCTGTAGCGAATTGGTACACTTGAATAAATGTAATAGTTGTTTTTCTAGGTGTCTCCCGAGCTCCCAATTTTGGGGAAAATTTGACCCATTTTGGAGAAGCCGCTATAGTGAGCTTTGGGGAAATTCCCCTTTGACCTTGGTCAAGGCCACATAACTCTGGGGATTTCCTCAGAATTCCCCAAAGTTCCCCAAACTTGGGAGCTCGGGCTCTATCTTAACTGTTATTTGTTTTTATCTCAAACTGATGGTCTGTGCTTTTGTCTATTTAAAAGTGTTTATTAGCTGCAATGTGTGGAATTTATTGTGCCACTCACAAACTTAGGTAACGTCAGATTACAAATTAGCTCCATTTCTACTATATGAAGATTTGTGTCTGTGTTATTTTAATTTCAGCTACATATAAAACGACTTGTTTTTGTGTAATAAAACAAGAATAGATTCATCTGCATTTTGCGGTAGATTTGTAGTTGTATTAAGTCTGCATTCAGGATTCCAGTTAGGAATACGATAAAACAATCTCGTGATGCTCACAGATGCATTATATTTTAACATTCGTGGTGCTTTGATTACGCTTCGGTTTGTTATGTTACTGAAAGTGAGCAAAAGCAAATATGACACGTGAGATTCATCGAACGAAATGACAGTATAGAAAGCATGTGTTCTCAGCGTAAGTTAAAATGTACTCACATTTAGGTGATGGAAGGAAATTGTAAACCTCTGCCATTTCGAATTTGGCTTACTCATATCTTTTTCGTTTTCACTATTTTCATTATCCATGTAAGTCATTATGAGTATCAGTGATTTGTGTGAATTCCTATACTTAGATTAGCAAACTTGAGTCTTCATTCATTGATGAATCATCTGTTCCCACCACAATGTCTACCGTCCCCTCAGCGGTTGGTTCGGCTGTGATCTTGAGTCCAACACTATTATCAACTGGCCCCAGTGGTTTAACCAACATACCTTCACGATCCCTGGCTGGCAGACAGTATGCTGTAGTTAACGGCTCAAATGATATACAAAACAATAATGTTCATTCCGTATCGACTCCAGATATCAAAGTAGCAAATGCAGGAATGACTACCCTAGGTACCCCTGTGTCTTCTTCTTTAGGGACTACAATTATTTTGCCAATATCAACTCCTGTAAGTCTGAGCATGGATTTAAAGTACTTCCATACCTCGAATGTCTTTTACTGTTGAGTGATTTATTTTTTTTTTAAATAATTGATATTAGTTGCACAGTACTTTTTCATAACTGTTTATCCGTAATAATTTGTTCATTTGTTTATCATTATTAACTTATTTGCCAGGTACAGGATTATGCACTCTGCTTTGAGTTATACTAAGTTTCATGGTTGATGATATTTTCCAGTCTCTCATGCCGAAATAGGTGGACGGATTCCTAAGCCTGCAACCTAATGACAGGAAACCGAACACCTTAAGCAATGAGCGACCATCCCACCGTGTATTTGTGTTGTACTAGTTACATGTGTATGAGATAATAGAATACCGCACTCTTTAAAACGAGATGTACATTACAAGTGATATTCTGCATTTATCAAATAGTACCTAGATGATATTTAAGTAAGTAGTTTTTTAAACTATGCAGAATAGCTTTTTCAAAGTACTTATCACCCAGTGATTCTCGTTCCTCGTATGGGTATATGTGCAGTTAAGTAGCGTAATGTTTTACATAATTATCCATCACTATGTTCAGATTAGTTATAGCAAGCCTTGGAATCAGTAAGGATAGCCGTAGAATAAGCCACGAGACTTCACTATCAAGAATCACCTCAGGAAGATGGTATTTATCTCCTGCAATCACAGGACTGTGATTCTAAGTATGTTTTGCATCAACGTAACCTTACGAAAACTATAGCTCTCCCTTTTCAATCCGATTTCTCAGTTATTCTTTGCCCTCAACCATTTTCTTGAAAAAATGTTACCCTTAATTAAAATCACAGTTGTTTCACGTGTTATATTTTCAATACTCAACTGGCTATCCGTAATCTTCTCTTTGTACTAATTGCTTGTTGTTTAATTAGTATTTTCGCCAGTGATCACTTCGTTGTATATGTTTATGTTCATTCAATTTCCTAGTTGGCCTTCGTTAGTGGGCCTCAAACGTCAGTCTCGCTGGCCGACCAATCGACGGATTCAGTTTCTTGATTCTATGATAAGTTCCGTTGGACGCACACTTGTAGTTTCTCAATGTACGTGTTTATCTACTTGCTTCCTCTGTTTATCTTGTCAAATATATTTATACATATGAATGCTTAATCATTTGATTATTTCCTTGTATCATGTATTCTCACTTAGAAATTGACTTTTCCAACTGATAATCGTAATGCAAACAACAGATCTTAAGTTTGTTTTCCCTGTTCATAAACGCTATTAATCTTCATTTTTCTACTTTTCAATCTAATTTTAAGGTGGAAATAAGATCAATGAATCTACATTTTCTTTTCGTATATATATAATCCTATCTAGAATTGTATTGTCTTCAAGTTCCTGTTTACTACATATATTATTATCATATTAAAATTGTATTTTTAATTGCATCTCCAGTTACCAATTTTGTTTTATGAACTGTTAATTCTCTATCACTGCTGTGAAAAGCTTTTATGCTTCCACATTCTGTTTGTAATTCATCCTCATGTTTCATATTCCACTCATCATTATCAAGCGATCATACTATTTTTCTCTCTATCGTTTAATAATACTTTCCTAAGAATAAACCCAGTTAAGATGTTTTTCATTTATGTATTAGAATTTCATTTTTCCATTACTGTTTATTTGTAATTTATACTAAACAATGATGTTTGTATACTCGCAGATTGATTCTGCGTGATTTTACTTCATACAAAAATTAACGATTCTGTTATACCATGTATTGCGCTTTTTCTACGTTTAACCCTCGTTCTAGACAGAATCATAAGCTTAAGCTCCAACGCGTATGTGCTATGAAAGTTCCTCCTATAGTGGGAAAATCCAGCCTCCTTACCTTTTGAGATTTTTCGCAATTGTTTTGTTTGTAATCTCAGTCTTCTTCACAAGATGTAAACCGCTTAAATCATTCCCCTGATAATTTACATTATTAGTGGCTCAAAGCGTTTGACTCGGCCGGATGTATGGAAAGTGGTGCATCTAATTTCACATCCTAGATAACTAAACATAATATTAATACTTCGATATCACTGTGACAATAATGCGATCTTGGTTACCTTTTGGATAACTAAGTAAAAGCGCCTTGTGAATGACTTAGATTTATCTTGATTAACGTATGAGTTTACCAGTTAAAGTACAATGAATCTAAGGTAATGTTCAGTTTAAAATAGTGTTCACTTTATATTACTTCACATCACGGACCAAAAAAATTAAGAATCGGGTTGTTGTAATCTACTTAAACCACTATAAAATATATTTATTAACAGTGCCGGATTAATGATCCAATCATATGAATAAACCGATATCGAAATCAAAACTGCCGGCCAGAAAAATAAGTTTTCCGTGTAAAAACATAACATGGTTTTGTACAAAATCTCAATCATAAAGCAGATATGCTAAGATGTCTTAAACGATTGAAGGATGAAAATTTTGTGAGTAGTGAGTGCGCTATCCAATGAACTAAGGACCGACTGTTTTGTCTAATTTTCAACCATCATTTCACAACGTCACTGACACATTTAAACTTGTACGTTTGATATGAACACCATTCACAGGGTGATGTGAATACACTTATAATTGCGTACATACTGTTATCTTCAGTGGCATTTTATCAGGAATCATGTATCCAAGCCGTTGAATAAACAATAATGCAACCCAATCACCCACAAGGTTTTTTGCTCAACATTGATTGAAATATTTGTGTGAGTCATTTCAGTATTGCCCGAGCAAAGTTGGATTATGTGAGAACACCGCTTATGATACAACTCATCGAAGTCACTATGCTATATCTTTAGATTATCACAAGGTGAATATTGTGGTTTATTCGATGTTTACATATCTATGGCAATGAGTCATCACTTTGTATTGTCTGTCTCAGATCCTCAAATGTGTGAAGTAAACAGCATTCAACAAACTCACTAGTTGTAGAGGAAAATTTTGAAGCATATAAGATGTGTTCCGATTCGTATTCAATATTCAAAATAAACGAGCTTATTGGAGTGATTCCCTAGTAGGACTTTATGCTGTAAATAAACCAAAGTAGGATTTAGGAGAAGCTGTGTGTTGGTGAACAGTCATTTCTCTAAGTTCGATTAATATCAAATGGTGATATTTGAAATCTCATGCAGATAACACCAGTGGCCCTTGAACTCATTTCTCAGTTTCACTAGAAAGCCTTGACGTATTTCAGCCACTTGGAGCTCCTTTTTTCATCAAAGGAACTACTAGGCAAGTAAGCCAAATATTGTCCTTTGACTTAACAATATCATTAAGATAGAATAACAGAACCATTCAAAATTCCATATTGCGAAAATGGTTTCAGATTTAGGCTGGTTCCGATCTTGACTTCGTCAATAAGTGACCGTAATCTCAAAGAGTATATTTAGCCAATGGCAGTTTTTGTTATATCTGATTTGGATTTATAAAAAGGGCCAAAATTTCGATTGGTGAAACACATGTCTCACTATCCTGGTCGGTATTTATTAGAAGCGCATTTTCAGCATAAGAAGTGGAAACAGTCTAACATCGGATAATAGAAATGAATACGACACTAACAAATAGTATCCACCTCATACTAAATCAATGTTCAACAATTTTTTAAAGATAACCATATGAAAATTTGGTTTACACACTACATGTATGAAGAAATAATGTTCTATTCAATTGTACCATATTTTTGATACATTGTTTGTGGATTTTCTATCTTCCTTATCTGGAAAGTTTGCTTGCCATCCTCACTGATCTCTTCGCTCAAATCAAATTCATCATTGTCATAACACTGTTGCTCCTTCGATTCTTTAACGAGCACGAAACCTCGACCACCTAATTTAGCGCTTATATTCACTCGTATGAAATAGATTATATAAAGTGTGGCCTATTAAATAAAAAAGAAAAAATCACATAATTAAATAAATTCATCTCTAACAATGTCATACAAGAAATCTACCGTACATAATACTAACTTCAATAATGGAACTAAAATACATACCCAAGCCTAAATTATCTAAATATAACACTTAGAACATTTCGAAAGACCATGAGAGGGACTTATATAGCTCCTATTTTTTTGCAACTCCTTAATATTAACGTTTTTGTAACACCTTGATAAATCAAAATCGAAGTTAATTATCATGCTAATCTTCCACTTCCGTTCATAATAACACAGCTAAATATTTTCGGTATTGATCAGGCGGTTATGATAATTAGAAGTAATTGGACTGATCTACTAACTAAAAATTTCCGAAATAGTGCAATTTAAGGCAGGTAGAACTAGATGGGCACAAATGGACGTATTACATTTGGTATTCGTCGTAAGCGCGCAACCATGTATGAAGGAGTCAAATACCACAGTGGTGTAGAAGTCCTTTATAGTTTACACTAAACAAGACCCTCGAAAATCCTTATCAAACATAATCCAAAATTTCATAACCATTTCAAAAACATAAGTTGCGTAACACTTTTGACCTAATTTCAGAAGAACATTTATTTGTTTAAACAGCACCTTATCATACAACACTTAATATCAGAAAGTGAAAATTTCATCAAGAAATAATGAGAATTATTTAGACAGTATCCACATTCAAATTTATACCTCAAAATAAAACTGAAAAGTTACATTATTATTAGTTTGAGTGATTTGTCTTCAAGGTGTGGTCGACTGATCAGCACTGTTGTGATATTGAAGTTGCACAAACGTTTGCGTAATATTTTCGTAAACACAAGTGGATGATTTTATTTACACTATATACAGGTAGTGAACAAACCAAGTAGTCATTCTGTTTTTATGATAGGGCTAACAAGAAAAGTTGATTAGTTTAAGCAATTTACAACTATTTATTCTAGTAAGTACTACACAAATTTCTGATATTCATGCATAACCCCATTGACAAAATTATATCATGTCAATAAAATTCAACTTCAAGTGTGATATAATAGCATTTATTGTCAAAATGTGACAATAAGTTATCATAGTCAACAAAAATAATCGAACACGTTTGACTTCCTCATAAAGTCTCTGAGAATAAATTCGTCAAACCTATTAACGAAACGAATCACTTAAATAACTAAGAATAGTAAACATTACTGATTGTTATGACCTCTAAGCTAGATCGACTAATCATAAAGCCATATTATCCATCAAATCGAACACGTTTTCAGATCTAACATTATTATAAAAATCAAACTCACATGACATAAAATAACAGACATCAGAGCACTAAAGCAGGCTAGTATTGTTGATTGTGGTTTACTCCAATCAATCGAAGGATAAATTTGTCCTTTATTATGAGGACCTGCACCACCGAGTAACCAAAACAAATATGTGAATAAACTATATATCACACCGAGTAGGCAAGGATAAATGACATGTATCATTCGCATCGGAATAGCACAAAGGCATGTGTCAATTACGACCAAGACTGAAGTCAATGAATGTTTAACTCGACTCTGCCAACTTGCGAATACATCTGTAAATCAAATATACAAAGTCAAAATGAAAATTCACCTCCAACGAGACTTATGTATAATAGTGAAAATCTAGTTATTTCCGTGACCCAAAGAGACATTACGTTGCAAATTGACGAAATTACAGACAGCAAAGGAATCGGTTAATTTTATACTCGAATGATGTTATTAATTGTATCAGTTAAATTTCTGATGATTTCTATACAGACTGATTTTCGCTCATATTGCAGGCAGTCGAATAATAGAAATTATTGAGGATACTTGATCTAGGTTTACTTTAAACACACTGTCTGACAGACTATCATGTCGACAGAACTCCAGTTAGCCTTCTGTTATATTCCGACGAGAGTTACGAACGGTAACTCTTGAGAACCATTGATGAACAAATACGATACATATATATTTACTGTATAAATGCTTTATTGGTTTATTTCGACCCATAGACTATTATTATAGGATTAACTGTTCTTGAGTTATGCCCGATCTATTAATTACAGTCTCCTACATTCACAACCACTTTGGGCTAGATCTTGTACAAATGTTGTTTTCTATTTTATGGTACGCTGTGATCTGTTTGGTTTGTATATAAACCCAGTATGTTTGAAATACATGATTCATATCGCGCAGGCTGAGATTTGTGTTCTTGACTTAACAGGCAGAGCTAGACAGGAAGGAGGACCGATAAAGACTCTGGGCGGTTTTATGTGTCATTGGTCCGGTCGATAATTCTCTGTTCTCTAATTGGCCGTATCATTACACTATATATTAATATAACACAATGCCACGAGCTATAACACCTTGTTTCAAATTAAGCAGTTTTATAATGTCACACACGAATTTGTGGGTTCTCATCTTTTTCACTTACCTGTTTCACATCTTTCTGTATCTAAGAATATCTGAAAACATCCGCAACTATGGGTTGTACAAATCCTTATCAGTATGATTATGTGTCAACTCAACAATAACAGAACTAAGTCATTCAAACTTATTATTAACCCTAATTATTGCGTTCCTATGAGGCGACGGTTATCAAGAGACCAGAAATGAATCTGTGGCTTGATGAACAACCAGTTGTTAGTCTACAGACATTTCGATATCATTTCGTCTTCTTGATGATACAATAGCACAACTTCACGGCTCCCTATGCCCTATGATCTGACTACTTAAAATTCTTATAAGATTCCCATTCTTTCCATCATTTGAGATTTTGTAATTCTGTTACTTTCTTAACAATGCATACATAACACAAAGTCACAGTTCCGTAACTTCAAAGGATTCTTGTCTCTACCTTCTGTCCAATATCTTGTTTTCTGGAATGTTCATCTAATAAATCTACATAAAATAACCGTGGAATTATATTTTAACAAATAAGGTCATTTCGAATAGAAGTGAGTAAATTAAAGCCCAGTGACTTTTATCATAAAACGGAATATCATTAGTCATGAATCAGTTTATCATGCTCATTTTCAAGTTCAAATCAATGTCCTCATTTACTTCCCTCGTTGTGACCTGTCCGGATATTGAAGCAAAGCAATCCTGAAGCAGTGTATCAGATTTAGTGGGAGAGAAATTCAATTCAGTGATTGCTTTATGATTACATAGGGCCATCATAGACTATCCGTTTTTTTAGCATCTTCACCAAGCAAAATATAACATTAGCCAGTACTCAGTGAACAAAAATTAGATAAAATAAATTAATAAAGCATGCTAAATAGGTTGGAGAAAGTGGATGAAACATTGAAGGTCACGTCATTTATCTCACAAAAATCATCTAAAATACTTGGTTTTCCTGTTAACATACTGATAATGACCCTTCAAGTTCGAGAATTATCAGAAATATTAAAGTATTTGCGGTTGATAACAGTGAGGTTCATGATGATACGTACGTTATGAATGCTATAAAAGACAAAATTTCAGATGAGTTTTACAAATCTAGAGAACCTTCATCCGAATAGTCACTTAACTTCGCTTAATTTATTAAACTGATGAAGACAGTCGTTATTCTATACAAACTAAGGGATTTATATAAACAATTCCTAAAATTTGTGCGGTATAACAATACGTATATGTTTTAGCAAATTTCTATAAATATCAAAATCAGTAGATTTTGAACCAGGAAGAATATTTAGTATCCCCGACATAAAAAGATAGAAAATTACACCTATTTGAATTTTCAGTCAGCCAAATAATAGGTTCTGAGACCTGTGATTATGTTATTTATTTAACCTATTACTACAGTTTTATTTTCACCCTTAGTGTTTAATAGATGTACTTTTTTCATGATATTTAAACTCGGATCATAGTGAAATAAACTTTCAATTAAGTTAACCGTCAGTTTTAATCAGTATATCACTACATCCCCATTGTTATATAAAGTTGCAATTCTTCAAGTAACATTCAGTTTTTACATATATGCATAGACATTGAAGAAAGGTTTAAGATTGTTTTCATTGAAGAGTAACTAACTAAAAAGCCATTCAAAAATACAGGGTACAAACGGTTCCAACGTTCTAATTCCACATCATTTGTTAGTGTTCAGTCACCCAAAAGTTGTTAAAGAAAAACTGATCCTCAACAGTTGTTTAGTTAATTTCAGTTCTTTATCGGAACTAAAATCAACTTTTACAAGGTCTGGACTAAATAAGTTAAATAAAAATTTATTAATAAATAAATAGACTCGTTGAAACGTAAAATAATTATCATTTAGCTTACTCAATGGAATGGTCGACAATGAAAACCAATATATGACAGAAACCACAAGTATACATGTTGATGATAAATTATACAGAAACCATATCAATTGATAATATCTTGGTTCATTGTTAGGATCTATGTGTAACCGTAAATCAGTGGAAATTAGTGAAAATTCAGTTTGTAGAATACATCAATTTTATAGTGCATTACTCAAAAATACACCGATAACTAGAGTTAGGGTTAATGAAATATATTGTAATTAAGAAATACCACGATTTCCACTTTATTCTTTCTGGTCGATATTCACATATACCTATCATATGTAAACTCTATTGACTGTATGCTTCACTAGAAAAGTGTTCTACCTAAAATCAACGCAAGGTTCATGTCATTGAGTGGTTGATTAAGATGTAAAGAATCCGCAAAAACTGTTCGCTTTGACTTCAGTTTTCATCGTGAACTAACATCTCAGAAGAACCATTAAAAACCGGAGAGTATTGAGTAATTGTTGCATATTAACATGAGATTCATAGAAAGTATGCACCCGCTACCATACCACAGCGTCGCACTGGCAGTTTCAGTCCTCACTGGAAGTTCAATTTCTCTAGACCAGTAAGTCAGAATTCAATGATTCTCTAATATCTCAATTTTACTGAAGTTGAACATTTGAGGCATGAGTAGTCCGAAAAAAATGTGTCTTCCAGAAAATCTTGAATTCGATTCTGTGAGGGATTCACGGAGTAAAAATTGTTGAGTTGTCTCAAATAATGATATATTGGATACACAAAAATCCATTGGTTTTACTTATCCTTCGGCTAAATTCTGCTTTTAGCACAGAGGTTTGTGAAGATTATTCAACATTCCTGATGTCCCGAACAGACGCAAGTTAGAAATCTACTGAAAACCAAGAGCGATTGAACAGCTGATTACTACGAGTTTCTGGACGTTCAGTAATGCTCCTCCTCAAAATCGCCAGGTGGAATCAAATCCATGACCTTCGGTCAAGAGTTCGATGGCTTGATCTCTAGATCATTGAGGTGACGTCCAATGCTTTGATTGTCTAACGTTATCGAGCGACCATATTCAATTGTATTCGGCGGTTGATGATCTCTGTTACAAAAACTTACCTTGGGCTCAACGCTGTGTTTTGCACTGAGCAGATTATAACGGTCAATGTTCTCATTTACAGGTTATCGTTTACATATTCATAACGATGACAGTTCAAAAACAACCGATAATTTTTGCGTACACGTTAACTGGACAACTGATTTAGTTGATACGATTAATTTAATTTGTACGAATGCCGAAAATGACGTGAAGCTATAAAACAAACATTTATAGAAAATCGTTATTTTCTAAAAATCATGCATTGAAATGAAGATTACAGCATGATAAGACCAACTACACTTATAACACTCAAAACACTGTCAATATCACCCCGTCATTCAGATGTCAGTGAAATGACCTTGTACTGAAACAAAGATCTCAGTCATTTCCAAGTAAGACGCATTATACAACGAAAGTCATTAGTGCAGAAATAAATTGCATACTTCCACAAAAATCAAAACCTTGTGTAACATTTTATTGAGTTTATTAATTTACATGTGTATGGGTACATTGATTTGTAGAAGTAACAGTGACTTGCATGTGACGTTGCCTGAAGATGTTGAAACAAACAAAATAAAATAGTCTGGCAAGAAAAGATGGCAATCGACTACTTATTTCAGATTCAGTGATTTGTGTTAAAACTGTAAGTTAATAATATTGATCCGTGTTCCCAATATAATGATTATTTATGATTATTTTGTCCAAATTAGTGAAATGAATATAAATGTCATTTGAAAATCTAATAAAGCTTTTACTTCCCTTACACAAAATGAGGATATTTTATCTTGACATCCGATAACGATATTGATCTACTGGAAGTTATCAATATTTAAGTGCTTTCGCTACCTTAAACCAGTTTCATTATCAATTCATGAAAATGTTTTTCAACTTTGATGATCGAAAAAGTTCATTAAACACTAATTACATAAACTTTTATTAATTTACAACGTCTCCAAGCCTTATAAGATATTTTCTCTCAGAACTCTTCTGTTTGTTTTCTGTTTTTGTTTTTTTGTTTGAAACTATTTGGTTTAAGTTGCTATAACTTACATTGCTGATGGATGGAAGGTAGTTAAATTGCAACATTCATAAAAGTTGACTTTTATAAATATATGATTTAAATGTAATCTAATTGTATAAATAAAAGTACTTACATTTTATGTTGTAAATCAAGCAGTAGATAGTTAGTGATATATGAACTATGGTAAGTATCAGAAATGCCCAATTTGTACCATATGTGATCCAACTATATTCAGAATGATCGAAATGTCTGATTGTTTCTATAACAATATCGTATATGATCCATACCAACAAAAGAATTGCCAGAGATACACGATATGTTGTGAAATATTTCGGTGTGAAACACATCCACTGGAAAAATTTTATGTAAATAAATGTGGATATTATCAACTGACTAGATGAGTTAGTAAAAAATTAAAAATTCTCTGGTAAATTTGCTTGTGAATTTTGAAATGTTCGTTTATTTACTGTTACTATATTGATATTTCATGTAATGCTCAATATAAACAGCATTTCAAATCAATTATATTTTCCACCTTTTAAATCACGAACAATCTTAGCTAGACCACCGTTAAATACCTGGAAGAACTAGACGGCCGTTTCGTCCTAGTACTCAGCAATTTGTTTCCATGATTCTTTATACAGGGATCAAACCCAGAACCTTCGGTTTAGCGTTCGAACTCCACAAACTCTATACGACTAAGTTGGCATCCAACACTGCTAATGTTTAACTTTTCACTGTATAAAAAGTAGTCGCTCACTTACTTATACATGATGTTGAGAATTATCCAAAACAACATGAAATAGTGTGATGAGAATTTTATTGGAATGACAAAAAAATAATTTTCGCAAAACGCTACCAAGCATTTATGATGACAATACTTGTATTCACATCTACAAACGTAAAACCAAATGGATTCTTATTTATTGTAAAGTTAAATACAACTAAATAAACGTTGCATATACGAAGTTGAGCATCTTAAAAACTCTCAATAAAAGCACGTGTACTATGAAAACTAGAGGGTCTCAGCTTTTGAAAAAGGTATGGTGCTCAGTAACATGTTTCAAGTTTCTTCAGAAATTTTTATAAAATCATGATCGCAAAAAAATAATCATGATTGGGATTTTCTCACTAGATATTGGGAGTGTTATTTGGCTTTAAGAATTAGTTTAACTGAGTTCGTTAGAAAAATATATAAATAATCTTCTGATATGCCTTTACTGCATGTCATTTATCGCTAATTACTTAAAACAGTTTGCCTCCTTGTTAGATTTAGATGATGCAATCAAAAGACGAAATTTATCTGAACTACATAACATATTAGAGCACTATATTTTCATATGATCGCGCATTTACTTGACAAGACATTTATATATGAAAAATAGCTCGTTGATTCTATAGTTATACAAAACTGAGAGGCATATTAAATTCTCAACATTTCAAAGCACAAAAGGAATTGCGAAATAATCCTGAGATTGTTCTTTCTAAACCTACTCAAGGGTCAAGGTTAATTATACTGAATAAATGTGATTATAAAAGTAGGATGTTATCCAATTTCAGTGGTAAAACTAAATTTATGTCTTATGTTGAATTGGAAAAAGTCTATAAATTCTAGAGAAAAATGAATTCAAACTTTATGAAACTACTTTACGTGAATAGTATTAATAAAGGGGATCTAATCTCTCATATCCTATCGGCTTTAAATATTCCAATTTATATGAATTGTCTAAAATTGATAAAACTAACAATCCACTGCATCCACGAGTTTATCCACGAGTTGATCTCGTTAAGTGGTTGACGAAATGACTAAACCCTATTGAAAGACATTTATGTAAATAATCAATACAAAATTCTTTTAGTTGATTGATTAATTATGTGACTTCAAAATCAGGAAAAACATAACGTATCTGTTTGGAGAGAGTTCACTGTTCATTAAAGTACCATTGAAAAATCTCATACTGCCCATATAAAAATATTTCCAAAACCTTTTTACTTTTATTCAGAGATAAAGTCAAATTCATATTTGGCTAATTCATTGAAAACTACGTTTGTTTAAAAGCATGTTCAATATGATTTATCATATCTGTACAAATGATACTATCGAAGATGGGGTGAAGCTATTAAACAAACATTCATAGGAAATCGTTATTTTCTAAAAATCATGCATTGAAATGAGGATTACAGTATGATAAGACCAACCACACTTATGACACTCAAAACACTGTCAATATCACCCCGTCATTCAGATGTCAGTGAAATGACCTTGTACTGAAACAAAGATCTCAGTCATTTCCAAGTAAAACGCATTATCACAATTGATTGATCACTGGGTGGTGATCAATGTCATGGTGGCCACATTGCAACATGATCGATAGCATTCGATCTGCACTAATAAGGACTAGACAAGCATGACATTGATCACCACCCAGTGATCAATCAATTGTGATTACATCTCAGTCCTACAGGAGGTTAGTCACGGCTCGGATGGCTCAGTGGTAACGTCTCTGACTGTGAAGCTGGGTGACACGAGATCGAATCCGCCAGGGAGCACCAGTTCCCTCAAGATTACAGGTACACCTTGCTGACGAGTGCCAAGTAGCACGAAACCCGGGTCCAGGGTTTCCTGTTGACTACCTCCAACCACCATCTAAAACGCATTATACAACGAAAGTGATTATTGCAGAAATAAATCGCATACTTCCCCAAAAGTCAAAACCTTGTGTAACATTTCATTGAGTTTATTAATTTACATGTGTATGGGTACATTGATTTGTAGAAGTAACAGTGACTTGCATGTGACATTGCCTGAAGATGTTGAAACAAACAAAATAAAATAGTCTGGCAAGAAGAGATAGTAATCATCTATCTTACTCTACTGCCAAACACGTAACTGAAATAGTTCATAAGACTGATATAAATAGCCTTCTTGGTCTTTGAAAAACACTGTGTGGATACATACATTAGGTTATCTAAATATGGACTAAAAGGGATGTAGAAGTAAACAAAATCAAATATCCTAACACACACAATGAAAGGAGTGAATAAACTTAACCTCGCTGTCAACATTATGGCTGAAGTTTAATCAGCCTTACTGTTTACACGAACAAGTAACGATCCGGATTCAGTAACTAAGTGGATAATGCGATAGCATGTGAAGTGAAAGTTACTGGGTTCGTCAACCCAGATGCTGGTAAATCGATCCAGAAAGTCCTAAACGGTACAAAATAGGTACCTCGAATTCCACCACTGGACAAAGTTCGTTTATTCTGCATAATTTCGTAAGATTGATGTGAACACACTCTTCGTTGTAATCAATAAATCTTGTTTACGGAAACTAGTTATACTCGTTGAAACCTTAGCTCTACGGATGTTCAAATCTCCTTCTCGTATTCAAAAACTATGTGTGCTTACACTAAATCTACATTGGTAATATAGATTTATTATCCAGAATGACTTCATTTACACTGTTATTATCAGTATCTTTCTTTTTCTCTGATCTTATTAATGTTTTTCTATGTAAAGGTGTTATTAATTTGTTCGAAACACACGCCGCTCATATATTATATGGTTTTATTAATCTTTGTCCTCTAATAGCATTATATAATTTCTAATTAATTTTTCCCACAGTGGTTGCATTACTAATGTTAGTTTTATATAAAAGTATTCAGTCAACTAAATAATATTCGCTCAAATAAAATTATGATTTTAGATGAAATTACTTTCTTTACCACACTGGCACTTCATTAAACTCAGTTAAGAAAAACAGACTAACTAATATATCTTATAGCTAATAACCACAACAGGAGAATCATTCGAATATATCAGGAAACCAGATTTAAAACAGCATCATTTTGCGTACACATGTTCACTTACTCTTCAGTAGACAAGTAAGTATTTCACTCACAAAGTAACATTCTCTATCATTAAGAAGTAATAAATCAACCTTGTAATATCATGGTCTCAACTACAATCACGCAGTCACTGTACATCGTTCCGTATTGTCTATGTAACAAATATGACAGAAAGATGTATTCGAAATAGTAAGGTATCGCTTGATTAGCAAAAAGAAGCACAGCAGCTTTCAATCCTGTCCGTATCCAAAATCATACATTCACACAGTACACTCTCACTACATATAAGTGAGTAGCAATCTTATACATTTTACGCATTATTGTTAATTACATTAAATGCGTTTCATTCATTTTATACCAGAACAGTTAAAAATGTTGGCAATTTGTTAAGTGTAAAAATGGATTTCAGGTAGAATTATCATATGTAGTTAGCGATATGAGTCCTTGTGACGTTCCTTTAGTCTAAGTGCGATTCAGTGATATAGTATTCATTACCATATGTCATGGTAGTGCATTTAGTACGAATATACATGTTTGAAAACGGAGTACTTTCAATCGTCAACAACAGGAGGCTGAGAGACCTGTGTTAATCCTGACAACAGAAGCAGACCTACTAGTTCAAACGTCCTTACGGTTTCCCCAATTGCAATTCACAATGCGAAACAACATACAATGATTTACATGTGTACAACACAACTAGTCTTTTGAAAATCACTTCTGAAGTGTCTTATTTGACAGTATGGCTACTTATTCTTGAATTTATCTCTCCCTTCTACCACTGCACATGTCAACTATTTTTCAAGAATTGTTCAGCAATATTTTCATATTCATCAATCTTCCTTCACTGAAAATTTATAATTTGACTCTATTCAGTATTCATCATACGGTTGTTATTCTGTTATTGTATGAGACTGCAATATTGTCAATGGGTCATGCATTAACGAACTCAAGATTGTAGAGTGGTGCAATCATTGGCTACTACTCTTTGTTACGCTGCACAACCCTATTGTACAACTCGATTCTAATCGACAGAGGTGGGTAGTATTATTGTTGATTCTTAGTTATTTGACATTTGTAGTTAGTAACTATGATTCACTGAATGGTACGACATTGTATGACAGCATCTTTTGACTGTATGGTGACAGAGAGTCATGGAAATGATTTAGAAATTTGAAGAACAACCTGTAATCACAGTCAATAAATTTTCACATCGACAATAGATCGATCTGTTCACTTCAATTAAAGCGTCTATCATCTGACCTGGAACAAATGAATTGTAGGATTTTTCAATAATCAGTTTGTACTTGTTGATGTGTGAGCATGTAAACAAACAGATCTGATTGTGTTCAACTCAATAATTGTTTAAGTAATCTATATGTGATATTTTGAACAATCATATTGTACATGATTTTGTTTTTACTATAATATTTGGATAATGAATTGTTGCTTTAAACACAGGAAGATTGTATTAGAGATTAATGAGATGTGAAGAAACCCAAACAACAAAACGTAATGGTTTAAATATACTGATTAGTTCATTTGTTATGTTCTTTGTCTGATGAATGCAGATTAAAAATAATAAATATCATTCATTAACTCGAAATAATCACCTAAATTTTATGTCAGCAATATTGTTAGTCGTAAAGCCTATTTGTCAGTTCAAACTCATGATTACAACTAAACTAATGAAAATTATTAATACAGATATCATGAGTGCTGTTAAAGGTATGAGGGCACTTATAATTTCACAGTCGCCCACACCGTTGAAGAGTTCTTCTAGAGGTACCTGGAAAGAAAATTGGTTTAGGGGTGGTCTTAGTAACCATAGAGTGTGACTGCAGTTTCCAAGGTAAAACTGCTTGAGGTCGGTCACACACGACCTTTTTGTGAGTTATTTTCGTGTTAGCTCCGTACTTGTTGAGACCTTACCGCCGGAGACGGATATCCGTGGGATAAGGCGAGGTGTGTATTTTTAGGGTCGACTATTTCTAACCCCACCCATCCTTGTGTGAAGGCAGCATCGCTGTTACACTGGTTGTCTGAAGGAAAAATCTTACTGCCGCTATACTTCTGTACAGTCAGCAGTACGACTTCACCCTCGAACCTTGGGTTTGTTGCTTTTAGTCTTACTGCTCTTCAACTGACCTGTCTGTCATGGTAGAACCTTGAGGAACGATTGTTCCAGCCAGTATAGCTCGATTGGTTCATTACAATAGGTAAGCTCGACCACCACGTCAAGGTAGCAACAACGGTTGGGACTAAACTGATGGAAAGCGTTTCAAAGTGTGTTAATCAAAAGTCACTAAATGAAAAGGCTACGATATGTCTGTCAAAATCTTAATGATAAGTTCATATTATTGACCAAGCATTGGTTTCATTTTCTAGGAAGTATACATGTATAAAAATAAATGAGTGCATATGGACTTTATTCATTTTAGGCCGACAAACTTCTTCCTTTACCCTTAGTCTTCTTACCTAGTAGCCAGTCAATGGTTTGCATATAAGAATCTTTGTGTATCAGTATCGGTTTCGACACTGCACATCATAACACTAAACATCCATGAAATATCTAAACTAATAATACACCAGTCGTCACACAAACATCTTTCAGCTTCATACAAAATACTTTATTACTAAAACAAATTATATAACATATTGAAATACTGTACGTACTTGAGATTTTACAAAATCTTGAGGTCTTGCATGATGAAATAATAATCCAGTACATGATAATTCCACAGTTCTAAATTGTCGTAATTCTGGAAAGTGTGAGGAATTCCATATGGTATATTTATTCTTTAAATATTGCATTTAAATTAGATTTTTTATTAAATAACAAACTATTTAATTATATCTCATATATGATTTTGAGTATCAAGACAAATATAGGGCATCATGCATATACAACAAAATGATTGAACTAAATGTGGGTTACCCTCTACCGAAAATTAAACAATGATTCATAAATACATGTTTACTCAATAGAAATTTACGAACAGAAATATTCCTGATGAGAACAATATAGCTTCCGTTTTACCTCTATACACGATTCATTGTATAGAAATCAACTTAAATGTTTAGAAATTTGGGATTGTAGCCAATGTATAATGATTGTTTAAAGTAAAGGAAAATGATTGGTGCATTTTATATGTTTGAGGCGAACACATAAATTCGTTTTATAACTAATCAATCAAGAAAACTTGAAAAACAAATTTACATACAGACTTTAGTGTCTGTCTATTTCTCATCTTTGCAGTCTTAGAGATTTTACTCAAAATATGTTAATAATAAGGAAAGAAAATGATACTGATAACTGTTTTTGAAACAGCAGTTTTCATTTCATTTTCTCCACGTCTGTCCTTCGTTTAGATAGGGGTACGAGGAATATGAATCTTTGGACAATTTTAGAGTTGGAGTATTCCGCATTCCGTCACATTTACTCCTTCCATTATATTGTACACCTTTTTTAAAAAAACCACTGATAATCAAATTAAACTATGTAGATTTATACACTGACATACAAACCGATCATCAAAGTCATTTGACAATATACGGTCAACACGGTAAAACTCATCAAATCAGCTATCATTCTTGAGAATTGTGAGTGATATCTGCTCGACTTAAATAAACTGAACATATGTATTGTAACCGTTTAAATCAACTGAAACAAGTTTATTTCAAAAATCTAATTAGAATATAAGATTTTGACACTTGATGTCTTCTAGAAGATTGGTGCCCAGTTCATGTCAAACACGTCGTTTAAATATTTATGAACATTCTTAGGAAGTATAGCATTCTGTTCTAAATATTTCTTTTGTCACTTTCAGAGAGAGGATTCATGATAATCTTGGAGCTGCATTCTTAATCTAGAGGATTTGAAATGCGATAAATATGCATAGATGAATTAATGATTTTTCAGTCTAAGAAAATTTTCTGTGTATAATATTTTCCCCAGATGATGCATACCACATAATTCGTTTTCCTACCTTTCTACAACCAACGTAATCTAATTAGAAACCAGTCGTCTTTCTGATACATTCATGTATCGTCACCACTAACAGTACATGAATCTTAGAAATAACATTTATCCACGAGTTATATATCGATTTTCTTAAATAATCAACTCCCATTGTATATCATTAATAATTATTAATACTTTAAGTGAACAAAATAATCTTAAAATTCACTTCAATTTAGAATTTACTTTGTTGATAACCACCAGTATTTTAATCGAAATCTTTTGATTTAAAATGTCCATATTGAAGATAACAACACTATTCGACATGCTTCTTAAAGCTTATTTTACTTCTAATAAATTAACCAACTGGTATGATAAGCAATGACGGATAATGGCTAGCAGTGGAATCCAGGACGCGCGTTTCGTCCTATTTGAGACGCGTCAGATGGACGTACCTGCACCTCAGAGTTGATGTTCACTCTGAGACTCGAACCCAGTACCATTCACTTCAAACGCCATCGTGTTATCCCTTCAGCTACTGAGTCCTGATAGCAACTTGCTTGTGCAATTGGGTGAATTTAAATTCACTTGGTACTGTTTGGCTTGTATCTTCCCATTGAGGTTTAAGACTGCAATTGAACTGATTTGATTCCTAACGAAAATACTCATGAAGTGACTAAATATTTTAAAAAGGAATCTGACTGCTAGTTATTATTTTCGTTTAATAAAGTGATTAGGTTATTTGATTACAGTAATATAATCTCAATAATATATATTAGATTACATAATGAAAATTACCTCTCAAAAAAGAAATCATACCTGTATATTGTACCATTTTGATAATCCAAAATTCACTAAGTTACTATTTTCATTTGATGCATTGAACCTCTGTTACTATTGTCAAATTAATAATACTAGTGAAAACTAACTTGAAGTAATTAAATAGCCTTGACTAACTTGCATTTATAAACATAAAACATCAATACAATAAAAACATGTATTAACTTAAAACGTAAAGGCATACAATCGGGCGTACGATTGCTTTAAACCAATTAAAGTTAATATAATCACATGTGTTTCATCAAAACAAAGGTTATTGATAGACTAATTTCAACGTTTTATAATAAAGACAAAATCAAGTACAATATGATTGTTTAAAATATCACATATAGATTACTTAAACAATTATTGAGTTGAACATAATCAGATCTGTTTGTTTACATGCTCACACATCAACAAGTACAAACTGATTGTTGAAAAATCCTACAATTCATTTGTTCCAGGTCAGATGATAGACGCTTTAATTGAAGTGAACAGATCGATCTATTGTCGATGTGAAAATTTATTGACTGTGATTACAGGTTGTTCTTCAAATTTCTAAATCATTTCCATGACTCTCTGTCACCATACAGTCAAAAGATGCTGTCATACAATGTCGTACCATTCAGTGAATCATAGTTACTAACTACAAATGTCAAATAACTAAGAATCAACAATAATACTACCCACCTCTGTCGATTAGAATCGAGTTGTACAACAGGGTTGTGCAACGCAACAAAGAGTAGTAGCCAATGATTGCACCACTCTACAATCTTGAGTTCGTTAATGCACAACCCATTGACAACATTGCAGTCTCATACAATAACAGAATAACAACCGTATGATGAATACTGAACAGAGTCAAATTATAAATTTTCAGTGAAGGAAGATTGATGAATATGAAAATATTGCTGAACAATTCTTGAAAAATAGTTGAAATGTCCAGTGGTAGAAGGGAGAGATAAATTCAAGAATAAGTAGCCATACTGTCAAATAAGACACTTCAGAAGTGATTTTCAAAAGACTAGTTCTGTTGTACACATGTAAATCATTGTATGTTGTTTCGCATTGTGAATTGCAATTGGGGAAACCGTAAGGACGTTTGAATCAGTAGACCTGCTTCTGTTGTCAGGATTAACACAGGTCTCTCAGCCTCCTGTTGTTGACGATTGAAAGTACTCCGTTTTCAAACATGTATATTCGTACTAAATGCACTACCATGACATTTGATAATGAATATTGTATCAGTACAACGCATTTTGACTAAAGGAATGTTTCACATAATATAACACTACTAGAGGTACAATTTCGCGTTCAACAAGTTTAAAACTGAATGCAGTCGAATATAAATATTTCAATATCATCATGATATTGACCAACTGTTCATTTATTCGCTAGAGCATAATTGCAAGTATTTATTAATATACTCTGGTGTCAGCATGTAAAAATTGAACCTGAAAAATCCGACAACTCATTTCTGTCAGGTCATGCGAGAGAAGTGTTGCCATAAAATGTAACACCGACTTAGGCATATATTAATTTGAACTTCAAGCTATTTAGACTGATAATTTGATTATTTATGCAACCCGACGCAAATAAATAATATTCACCTTCCATTAACGTTCACTAATTTTCACGAGATATTGCGTGTATGCGTTGATACATTCCGTAAAGTATCATTACTACATTTTTATGGGGATATTTTATGGGAAGTTCGTTCTTATTAAGAAGTTGTTTTTAATACATCATACTAGTATATATAGTCACATTGAACTTCGGTCTCCTGTTCTATTTTTGAATGGACAAGTCTTTTCTACACTCAGAGTATCTTAAATTGGTGTATTCTTCATCGCCTCATGAGCTAAACCAAAATCAAATCTATACACATATGGAGGTCACTAAGGTAGCTCAATAGTGCTCTAAATGATAGTTGGAACTTTGCACTTCAAAATGTGGATAGATTTGCTTTGATAATTATTTATTCAACTTAGATTTCATCATAAATAGTAAGGTTCAATCTAAATTTCATACATTTGTGAACTTTGGACTAAGATATTTCCACAATTTGTCCTTCTCATGAAAGGTTTCCAAACAGAGATTTGTCTCAATAAATTATCATTTGTTTATTTTGTAATCTCTATAACAATGATTCACGTACTTTACTGTACAAAGGATGTATCCGACTACCCAGAGAATACTTCAGTTTTATCCTTAGTAGTACTCTCATCAAAGATAAATCAAGGTTGGAATCTCTTCAGAGACACCTCAAACTACTGATCCGGATGCTACAAGTTGGAATTCAAATCTTAAAAGAAGCAGGAACTTGGATTAAATTCCATCTTCTTCTTCAAAATAATTTGTAAACTATATTTTACATACAACGATCCAATTAAATATGAAGTAACAACTAGTTGTAGTATCCATCACTTGTCATTAGCAAAGCGATCTCATTCTAGCTTTATCCCATACGAATTAATATACCTATACATTTTCGAGTGTGTAGTGATTTGCCTTAATCTGTCCACGAAATAAAATCACTTTAATCATTTGTTTGTCACTTCCCCTCTAATACTACCTTAAACGTGCTTACACGTCTAAATATGTCTCATTAACTAGCTAAATTATGGCAACGTTAAATGATTAATCATTGTTATTATTGGGGGTACTCAAGAAAGATTTCTCCATCCAGATATATTACAGTTACACCTTCCCTAATACATTTAACTACTTCAAATAACTTCTATCCCGAACAGAAGATTATAAAGCAATTTTACACTTAGATAACGCCAAACCTGTCACAGTAATTTTTGTCGCTTTTGTTCTGTGCTCTGCCTGATCATTTTTTCTAGTTGTAAAAAACTACAAGTAGTCGATAATGGCCCTGGAATTCACCTTGGACACATTTTTCATACATCAATAGGATGTTTTTGTCCCCTTACAAAGAATTATTGTTCCCAGAATGATGCATAACACTGTTGTAATCCACATGACAAATGTGGGCACTAAACAAGTTCATACTATATCATTTAAAACTATCCGAAATTATTTATCTGTCCTTTACATTTATGGTATTCTGAAATATTCAGATTAATATGGCAACTAGGTTTTTTCATAGATGTCCAGTTTAAGTTATGTAGAATACTATGACCACGACTGAAATTCATAATAATTTACACAGAAATCATTATTAAATATAAACATTACAGGATTACTGTCTGTTTCAACCTGATCAGCATGCATTCGATAATTATTTTCAGAATATATTATATTTATTTATTCACATCATTTCCAACTCAAACTTTGCAATAAAACCTAGAAAGATGACAGTAAGTACAGTGATTCAACCAAGTTATTACAGACAATATTCACACTTTGTTGTATAGGATCTTTCTGTAGACACATAATGAACAGATGTTACAGATGAAAACAAAAGAAAGAGTTGTGATATCTTAATGGATCATTAAATTTTTATGTGATTATTCATCTACTCACTCGATTCGTCTCATATAAATAGTAGGTTCATTATCCAACAAGAACGTCAAACAGTTTTATTTCTTCTGGTGTCAATTTGACAGGAATCTCAACCTTTTGTGTACTACATAGCTTTAGTGTTAGAGCTAAACGAATAAACAATTGGTGTTCAAAGTATTGTCAAAAAAGTTTACAAAGTGTGATAGCTTTATTTCGAATATCCTTGAGCACCATTGAGCTCTTGATAATCTTTAGGATATGTAGGCTATATTTAACTTGGTTATATTAGAATTAGTTACAATTAGTCGTCTTTCACGCGCTATCTGATAGAAAGTGATAGAATCTTTTAGTCGTTATGCATTGAGACGTAAAATTTATCTTTCAGATGTGGCGATCATATGGTGATTTTACTGGAAATTAGTCCTACTACACGATTAATAATTCATAAATACTCATTGATCATGATAATAATCCCTAGGTTGTTCATAATTTTTGACTGAAATTTACCGCTAACAGTACTCAAGATCACTGAAAGTTACCGTAACCTTTAAATTTCAAACATTAATGTGCTATTATTATTATTATTACTATTATTATTATTATTATTATTATTATTATTATTATTATTATTATTATATCTTTGACAATACTATCGATAAATACATCACATCCATAATCGTCTCACGGAACGGTGAATAACCCACTGATTTCTTAAATCTTTGATAATAAGTAGGTATCAGTATCAAGGTTTGACTTGATAGTTTCAAATAAATTGAGCATTGGGTAGAAGGTTAATAATCAATATATCTTTTGTTATATCCCAATGAGTAGAAAATCGTATTTCTGGTGGTTTGTGAGGTAATGTAAGCCACTTATGCAGAGTAAATAAATAACCGAATTAAATGAATATGAATTTAAACAGTACAAGGAAATATAACAACATGATACAAGACAAGTGGTCACATGTACTTTTTCATTTCCATTCATGACATGCATATTACTACTAGTCAAATATAAGATAATGGAGTGCAATAATTTAGTAGAGTCATTGAATATTCAACAAAGTAAATCCATGAAAAGAAGACTGATTGACAAATTTATTGTTTGTTGATTGTTTTTGAATCAGTGGGAAATGAAAGAAGACCGAAACTACTGACCCGAAAGAACAGGAAAACAAAAGTAAATTAATTATCGTTTGAATATTCACAAGCAATTTTACTAGAGAATTTTTATTCGTTTACTGACTCATCTAGTCACTTGATAATATCAACATTTATTTTCATAAAATTTTTCCAGTGGATATGTTTCACACCGAAATATTTCACAACATATCGTGTATCTCTGGAAATTCTTTTGTTGGTATGAATTATAAATGATGCTGCCAGGGCAACGATAATAAGTTTTAATTACTCTAAATATGGGTGGATCACATGTGCCACCAATTGGGAATTTCTGCTACTTACCATAGTTTATATATCACTAGCTATCCACTGCTTGATTTACAACATACAATGAAAGTATTTTTATTTTAATAGGTGGTAATATGGGATTTCACACATAGATACTACTAGCAGTCCGACTTCGTTATTTTGATATCTACACACTACATATACACCGAAGGTAATTCATCGTAAAATGAAAAGCTTGAAACAAA